AGGAGCCATGTGGGGGGGGGGGGTGAGACAGGATGCCCATAAGGGGCAGGGCATCTGCCTGGCAGGGCAGCTCCCATCTCTTGCAGAACTGAGGCCTCCCCTAGCCGGGGGAGTTTTTGCCCCGCCGGGCGGCTGCGCACCCCTCCTGGCGACGCGGCGCAAATCTCGCTGCCGAGTGGGCACCGTACCAGTAGCCGAATTCCCACTTCCCCCAATGCTGCACTGGAGGGAGGGGCCCTTCCAAGCTCCGTCCGCAAACTAAGCTCTGCTTATGTATGTTGCCACCTGCAGTGGATGGTGCTGTGGATCTAGGTTCGATCCTGTTGCCCGCTGAGTCTCTTCGGGCAGGGTCTCTTGCAGGAAGAGGGGAGGAGGAGTAGGGCAGCGTGGGGCCCTGGGCTCGGTTCCTTGAGGTAGGGGGCAAAAATGAAGAGGCGGCACCGAAGTACTTAGCTGGCCCTGATCACTGCAGTATCTGGGTACCTACCCATTGTTAGTGTATGTATCCACCCAGCCTCCTCCCCCCGTGAGGCAAGTGAGTGCTATGCCCCTCCTGTTCCAGATGGGGAAACTGAGGCACGTTGCGGTGAATTGACCCAGATCACTCCGACTGTCTGTAGCCGAGTGGGGAAATGACCCCACGTTTCCCAAGAAGGGCCAGTGTGCTAACCACAGGATATCCTGCCTCTTTGCACCTCCCAGCCCTAGCTCTCACAGGAGGGACCTTGCCTGGGGTGGCTTTGAACCAGCGCTCGCAGGGGCTGCGGAGTGAGCAGCGCCATTCGCACCCTAGTGATCTGCCCTTCGGCGCGGCTGGCACGGGGGGGCTTTTCCTGCCAGCGGACACCAGATCTTGGGGAATGAGCCAGCAGGTGCTGGGGCAGTGTCGGGGGCGTAGGGACACGTAGCTGGTGCTTCCTGGGTGCAAATCGTGCCTAGCTAGAGGTAGCATCCCAGGTAGCTGTGCAGGAGCAAAGACCCTGAGATCTTGCAAGGTGGATGAGTCGGAGCCCTTCTCTCACTGGGCTTTTCTGGCTGCAGAATTGGCCGGGTATTGACTGGCTTGCAGCAGTGTAAGGCCTGCTACCGAGCATCTGTGTCTGGGCTTTTCTGGCTTCAGAATTGGCCGGGTATTGCCTGGCTTGCAGCAGTGTAAGGCCTGCTACCGAGCATCTGTGCCAGCAGCTGGCAGGGAGCCTCCGGTTGCTTTCATGGCCGGGGCCGGTTCTGGTGTCTGGCATTTCTCCACGGAGGGTGGGGCGGTTGATGGAGAATCATTGTCCCCCCACCCCCC